CAATGGCCGCACTGTAGGAGGGGGACAACTGAAAACGGAGGCCTCCACCTCTGTTTAATGATGGACGGTCTTTCTTCACAAAAATGGCTTCTTTTTCTGAAACATGTAAATCATCATTGTACGATTGAATAAATGTGAAATAAAAAATAAAGGAATGCTATTAAAAGTTAGAGAGTTTTACTCACTGCCTTATGGTAAATCTTGAATTCTGAACTCTCCCACTTTACAGGGATTTCCCATGCATAATTGACATGAATTATGGAAGATGCAGTTTATAGTGGATGCTGGCTTTAAAGCAGCTTATTTTGAGACATTAATACTGCTATCCAACTAAAGTGCTCAGAGGTAGGACAAGTATTATCTTTCACCTTTTAAATTTGTTTATTTTGTTCCATTGAATCGTGAATTTAAAATTTACCATTGATATAAAAACAACTTTCATATTCATCCACATGCCACATTGGGCCCATGAGCCTTGAGTTTGACATGTGATGTATCATAAGATACATCACACAAACAAAACCAGCAAAAAACACAGATCATTACACAGAGACGATCGAAGGATGAACTTTTTCTTTACATACAGGCCTGCACTTCCAGCTGGACTTCTGTATTTATTACTAAATTATGGTCTTGTCTAAACGTAATGTCTGGAATCTATGCTACAGATTTAAATTAGAATAAACAATATTCAGTATCCCTGTTCATATTAAACACAAAAATCTCTGAAAACAAACGTCACAGCGTGATCTAGAGTGATGCTTCTCAAACGTTTTATGACACCACGATGAACAATAGTTCCTTTGGGCCGAGGTTGTTTCTCTTGAAAGCAGTTTGATTAATAATTAAATCAGAGAATCGGACACCTCCTGCACCCACATCCCCCCAAAACAGGAGTAATTTTAATCTTGACTGTTTAAAATCAGACAGACAGGTATACAGCTTCCTGGATTAAATTTCTAATTTGATTTGTACGAATTTTACAACAATCAGACAATCAACTAATCAGAGCTTCCACATTTAAGAGCAAATCTCTACAATGATCCACATCCAAACAGCAGCATCAGTATTTATATCAAGTATTTTCCTTAATATTATACAAAAAAAAAAAAACACTGAATCAACTTAAAATGTTCATGAATCAATAAAACATGAAAAACTGAAAATTACATCTATTTTAGCATTAGGTTTATCTGGACCAAATGAAAAAAAAATGAGAAAATGTTCAGAAAGATAATTGTTTTGATTGAACTCAAACTGTTTAATCCTGAGTTTGTATGATCTTTTTTTTAAATCGTTTAAATCTAATTCTGTTTATCCTAAAGCTGTGACAGGTTTGAGGCAGTGGGATTCTAATAAAATACCTTTTATTACCTCTCAGTGCTGTTGGAAAAGAGCATCGCCCCAAAACCAGATAAATATTTCATTCGTTTATTCAGACATTCAGAAAACTGGCAACCAAACAAAAGAATCAAAGTGAGGTGTGTTCAAGAGCGGTTCAGGGGAGTGATTGTTGTGGAGGTGGGGCTGGAGGTTCTGTGACCACCGCCCTGCAGAGAGGAGTTTAAAGAGTGGGAAGAGAAAACAGGCTGAGGGGTCCTTTTCTCTCTTTCATCTGGGTTTATTCTTTCTGCTGCCATCTAATATTTAAACAGCTCTGTTTGTGTGTGCGTGTGTGTGTGCGTGCGCGAGTGTGTGTGTGTGTGTGTGCACATGTTGAATGCTTTTGAACATCACTCAGTCCACTAATCTCACCTGTGTCCCTCTCATTTCCTCCTCTTAGCATGAAAGAGAGCAGCAGTCCCTCTGAACCTCTTCTCTTTTTTGTTTCTCTCTGTGCCTTTGTTACATCAAATCTCCATGTTTTGTTTTGTTTGTTTTCTTCTCTCAGGAATGGGAGACATGGCAGTGTCCAACTCCATTGGCAGTAACGTCTTCGACATCCTGGTGGGACTCGGCCTCCCCTGGGCCCTGAATACTCTGGCTATCAACTATGGTTCTGCTGTAAGGAACATGTTGGAAAGATTTTGGTTCACTTGTTTGATCTGAATTAAAAGCAGACTTTATTTTTTTTTTCCTTTGGTGCGGTTTATATTCACATTGTGCTTTTTTACAAGTGGATTAAAATCTATAAAGAAAACCACACAGGTGATGGTCATTACTCCCATTGGACAGAAATGATTCAGTCAATTTAGTTCAAAAATACCTTAATGATCCCACAGGGAAATGAGATAAATTGATGGGGGCAGGACAGAGCACAGATCTGAAAAGAAAGATGGTACTGTAAACACAACTGCAATACCATTTAGAATTTCAAGAGCAGCTCAATAAACAGCAGCATCATGATGATATGCTTCTAATGTTAGGACGGCGTTGGAAAACTTGTGTCGCAACCCAAAGGAGATGAGATGCTTCGCCTGTCCTGACCTACAACAGCTCATTGTCTGTAGCGTAGTGTTAGAGTTAGCAACTGATACCATGTCACTTAGCAACAGTGGCTCATAGAACCAGCGGACCAAATGTGTCAGGTGTGAATACACGAGCCCACCCCAAACAAACAACTGGGTTAAAAACCATCCCATCCAAGTCTGGTTAAAACCAGACCCTTGTCCTTCACTTTGCTTCGAACGAGGGTCTGGACTCTTGGCTATTGAGAAGTGATTTTTGCTGGAGGCGTGGCCTCTGCTGAAGTTTAAAATGATTGGATCGGTTGGCCGCGACATATGTGAATGCCAGCTCCACTGTGGAGACTAAGCTAAGAAACTAACTGGAAATCTTGTGTGCTGTAAACAACCCTACTGAGAGGAGAGAAGTACCGAGCCAAACGAGACGACTGTAAATGAGAGCTGCTGCTTTGTCAGACAAAGGTATTTTACGGTAATTTGGAAGCCTCATCAACACAGACTGGCTTCATTCACTTCCTCCACTGCTGCATGCTAAAATAACTAGCAGACACTGTGCAGAACATCGATGTCTTTCAAAACTCCACCTTCTGTTTGCTGATTGGCCCAGGTAAAATAAACTACAAGCAGACACTGCGCAGAAAATTTACGTTCTGTTCTCTGATTGGTCCGAACAAAATCATGCTGAAGAAATCCTTGTCTATGGGAGAAGTCCCAGACGGCGCAGTGAAGGGAAACTAGAATTGAGAGGAACTGCATAGGAAGGCAAGGGCCAGGCTAATCCCATCCCGACTTTTCAAACTGGTCAACAACGCTCAATAAAAGCTCAGCAGTTCCACCATTTATGTGTTTCTTCAGCATGTTGATATCCTCAAGTTTTGTCTGCAGTGAAAAAAGTTATGAAAACCTCTTGAAGTGTTCAAACACTTTGTCCCGTTTAGAGGATTGTTTTTAGTTAGACAAAAAAAAAAAAAAAAAAAACAGAACAAATGTAAAAACTGGAATTAAAAATGAAGAGTTTAAAGTGCAGATATGGAGCCGAAGAGCCCGATTCAAAAAACATCACAAAACAAACTTTATTAATGACCTAACATGGCAACAAAATACAAACTAAACAAAACCAAAGCTGCAGCATTGAGAAAAACCATCCATCCATTTTCTGTACACACTTATTTCTTTCAGGGTTGCGTGGGTCACTGGTGCCCATATCCAGCAGTCACAGTGCGAGGGGCGGGGTACAACCTGGACAGGTCGCAAGTCCATCACAGGACCACACATAGAGACAAATGAGACAAACAACCATTCACTCTCTCACTCACACCTACGGACAATTTAGAGTTATCAGTTAACCTAACAGTCATGTTTTTGGTCTGTGGGAGGAAGCCGGAGTGCCCGGAGAGAACCCACGCATGCACAGAGAGAACATGCAAACTCTACCCAGAAAGGCCCCCGGGCCGGGATTTGGACCAGCAACCTTCTTGCTGAGAGGCATCAGCTCTACCAACTGATCCACCGTGCCGTCCACCAGTAGAGTTTATATAAATGGAGCCACAATTAGTCGAATGAGGAGCAGGTGTGCTTAATGAGCTCACGGTTGGATTTTAAAGCAAAAGCTGCAACCCTTTTAACATTTCTGTTTTTGTTTTTTTTTTGTTTTTTGTGAAACACAATTGGTGGAATAACTACACTATGAAAACAACTGGGAGATTCAAGAATTTAGCATTTCCTGCAAAAACACAGTATGACTGCTGTGCGGCTTTTCTAAAATTTGTTGAAGAAGCAGAAACATTACTGAAGTTAAAACAAGCAACGCTAGAGCAGTTAGCTATTTGCACAATTGAAACCCAACCTCCAGCAAAACTATAGCAGTAGCTAAACCTAACAAAACCATACATAAAAGCTCCAATTAGAAAAAACCCTGGATGAAAGTTAAAATTAGACACAGTGGCTAAAAGCAGAGTTAGCAAAACCGTAACTAAAAGCAAATTATAGAAAAACGATAGTTAAAATCTACTCTCAGGTAACCTGTAACAAAAGGACTCATCAAAACAGTAGCTGCAGCTAAATGCTTATTAGCAAAGCCATAGCTAAAGGCTTACATTAGCAAAACATTAAAAAGCTAAAAGCAGGGCTGCTATTGTTTCACCATTTAGCACCAACTCTCTGTGACCCAAAAGGTTGAACGGGGGACATGAATACAATGTATAGATAACTACAAGGGGCAAAACTGTAGCTAAAAACCCTAAGGAGCACAGAAAGTTTAAAACACAGTATGCTGAAGTAGTTTCAAAAAAGAATAACAGCATCAAAGAGATCGAAATTTATCTATAGGGAAAAAATGTAAATAAAGTTAAATGCTGAGAAGTATAAATCCGTGATGGACTGTGATAGGTCCAGGGTCTACCCTGCCTCTCCTTCAGCTGGTGAAGTGTTTCATGCCCTCATGAAGTCTCCTCAGTAGCTGTGTTTCAATTGCAAATGTGCGGAAATCTTTGTCGATATTCTGTTAATGTCGAAAAACAGTTTTGCAATTGCGGTGTTTCCATTAAGTAAGAAATTCTATTAAAGTCACGCGTGAATACGCTTGTTCTCGTGATAAGTCATTACAATCATGGCGGCAATGGATGTAAACACAAAGCATAATTGCTACCACGACACTAGTGCTCATCATCAGAGGAGACGTCGGCGTCTTATTGAGGCTTTTGAGCGACAAGCCTCTTATACTTGGGAGTAGCTACGTATGCTGCGTTTTTGGGAAATTGTAGTCGGTTAGTTTACTACTTTCTTTCATTGATTTTACTACTACTTCTACTTCCTGTTTTCTTCTTTGTCGTTGTCTTTTTCACCAGTAGAAACAGCCGGTTGTGGATCACGTGACTCCCGTGATGCGAAAAAAGTGTTTCCATTGAAGTTTTGCGAAACACACCAATTTTGATACGGCTGAAAAACCGCCTCATCCTAGCGCAAAAACATTTTTTTTAATTGACGTGTTTCCATTGAGCAACTTAATTTTCAAAATTTTAATTTGCACATTTTCATGGTCAATGGAAACGCAGCTAGTGTCCTGCTGTGGCGACATCCTCTTCATCTTCTACATGTCTGATTGTCTTACAGATCAAACTAAATAGCAAAGGGCTCATCTTCTCTGTGGGGCTCCTGCTGGCGTCTGTGTTCCTGACGGTGAGTTTGTCCTTCTCTCACCTTCCCGCCTCTCTCTCTCTCTCTCTCTCTCTCTCTCTCTCTTTCGTCTCGGTGCTCACGAGCTCGTCTGTCTGTCCTCAGGTCCTGGGAGTTCACCTGAACAAGTGGACGTTAGACAAACGTCTGGGCATCGTGTGTCTCCTCCTCTACTCTGTCTTCCTGTGCTTCTCCTGCCTCATCGAATACAACATATTCACCTTTGTCAACCTGCCAACCTGCCGAGAAGACTGAGACACACACATGCGCACACACATAGACACAAACACGCACACAAACAGGAAGAGGTTACAAGTGGAGTGTTACAGAGATGGCTGCTTCTCATCAGAATCATGAAATCTCATATCAAACTCTTTGTTTGTGAACAGAGGTCCCACTCTGTTGGTTTATCAGGTGCTTGTTTTCCTGCTTGGCTCAGTAGGGCTGCTCTGCTGTGTCCTCCATCAGACCAGAGAGTGTCGGACTCACTCCAGGAGCAGAGGTGGACGTGACTGATTCATGACATGCCCTCACACCGTTCCACACACACACACATACACACACACACAGAACTGTTCAACTACTGCATGCTTCTGACTGAAGAGCTTTTATTTTGAAACACCCGTAGGTGTGCTACTTCCTAGCTGCTGACCCTTCCTCATGAAGAAGGCTGGTCTTCTCAATGAAAGTAGTAATAATAATAATAATAATAATAATAATAATAATAATAATAATAATAATAATAATAATAAAAGCGATGGTATAAGCGGGGGGTCTGGAGGGGGTTTAGTTTAGCACTTTTTTGTGGAGAGCCTGTTTGGAGTGTCTCAGCATTCTCAAACTCTTTACTTTCTCACTCAGAGTTTAGTGCAAGTGTGTAGAGTCTTCCTCTTCTACTTTTACATTTATGATAATAAAAAAAACAGGGCATTATCTCATCAGCTTTTTCTAAACAAACTCTCAGCTGTAGCGTCTCGGGTTTGGACCCGTCACCTTTTGTCGATGTTTTTTTTTTTTTTTTCTGTAAATAGCCTACCTCTCTGTAAATGTCCCCAGATGTCCTATTTATTATTTATTGATGCCACACGCACATGTATCCTTTCCAGGTCACGGAATGATACCGAAGATGACCACTTTAGCACAAAACAAGCACAATTTTCTGTGAAGACGTTTGGTTTTGTTCTCGGCGTGGAACCCAACTTGCACTGATGAGCTCCACGGTGACGTGTTTTCTAATTTTGCGGGCTGATTATGGGGAAAACGTCCTTATAAAGTGAAGCCGTTTTATTTTATTTTATTTTATTGGTTTGTTTTATCGTTGTCAGTGGACTGTTTTTTTATTATTTTTTTATTTTTGTCTGTCTCCTCAAAGACTCTGAGCAAACAGAATCCACACAGCGTTGGTGTTGGTTAGGTCGTGCTTCCTCCCCACTACCGGACGGAGGTCTGCTTCACTTGTCTGAGACTCAGACTGTGGACTTTGTTGGGACCAGGGTGACCACACAGGACTTTGACCCTAACCCACTGATTTTGGAGGTGGGGTTTTATTTTTATTCTTACCTGGGAGTTCTTTGTATTTTATAAAGCCTAATGTTGAGATTTGTCCAGATATGGTAGGTTTGTGGTACATAAATATAAATCCTACTAGTTTTTAGAGCATGTACAGTGTGGTTCACGTGATCCTCTGAAGGACTTTTATTCCAAAAGGGCCCATGGAAGTCCTCACCTGCATCCAGCTCGTCTGAGCTTGACTTTTATCAAAGTGATAACATTTCAGATCAACTTCTTTTTTTAACGGTCACAATAATGTTAGTACCCCACATCCTGCCTCAGTGGTTTAAAATATCAAAGCGGACACAAATGTTTGAATGTAAATGTGTGTTTGTCATATCTACTTATTCATTTCGCTTTACTCTGTTCTGAGCGGCAAACAGGGTTCGAATCTTACACGATGCAATAACGGAGCTGACACACGTGTCCGTGTACAGCTTTTATAAAATATTCTGATATTGTAATTATTTTCAGCCAGTTTGTTATTAATTAAAGGATTTATCAGTGACCACGCAGACAGAAAAGCGGGACTGTTAAACTGTAAAGCAAATCCAAAAATCATCAACACGGCAACCATTCTGACATATTTTTTTGTCAGAGTGAGAACTTTCTATGGTATCTGATCCATTCAGACTAATCAAGAACAACTTTAAGACTTCGTCCACACATTTTGTAGACCTGAAGGTTGGTTTTATAAAATTTGAGACATGGATTCATAAATTATACCATGGTATTCTAATCACAACACATCTTTCTTCTTTTTTTTTCATTTGCATAGTCATTTGCTTCCAGCATACTTCTAACATCCTCCTCTGTCACACCAACCCTCCCTCACTACATCCATGAACGTCCCATGTGGTCTTTCTCTCCTCCTTCTTCTTAGCTCCATATTCAACCCCTTGTTTTGTCTAATACAGTATACCCGTTATCTGCACATGTCCAAACCATTTCAGCTCATCTAACTTTGTTTCTAAGTCACTCAATGCACTTTGTAGATATTTCACCTTCAGGTGAAAATGAAGACCCCAAGCCCAGACCCAAAGTTTATTTTCTAAACATGATGTCCCAGTGGCTTTCAAACCCCAAAACACATTACGGCAAAGGCTGGTTCACCCCAAAGATCCGGTGCCCCGGCACAAACAGAGCAATGTTGTATATGCTGTTAAGTGCCAGGAGGACTGCGACCAGTTATACATCGGGGAAACAAAGCAACCACTGTTCAAAAGAATGTCCCAACACAGACGAGCTAATTCTAATGGCCAGAACTCTGCAGTTTTCACTCATTTACAGGCCAGCGGTCACTCTTTCAGAGATGAGGATGTTCTCATTCTTGATAYAGAGGAACGTTGGTTTGAGAGAGGAGTAAAAGAAGCCATTTTTGTGAAGAAAGACCGTCCATCATTAAACAGAGGTGGAGGCCTCCGTTTTCAGTTGTCCCCCTCCTACAGCGCGGCTATTGCCAATATCACTCCACCCCCTGTTAACAATAGGTGTTAATTAGGTGTCAATGATAGCCATGTGATGTGAGTATCAGTCACATGGAGGCAGGGCTTAAAAGCCTGAATTTTGCCTGAAACTCTCAGACTGAAGAAGTCTCTTGGAGGAGAGACGAAACGTTTCATTAGAGAAGAACCCGTCCAGAAGACCTATACAATTTTTTTCTTTTTAAGTCACGCAACTTTAATTCTGTCCATTTTGGTCACTGCCAATAACATTTTTAACATCTTCAGTTCTACCACCTTCAGCTCAGCTGGTGCCAACATCTCCATATCATAGCAGGTCACTGGTGATCACTGGAGAAGATCTGTATCTCTACACTGTGATCTTCTGGCAAACCCAAACCATATCTCAGCTGTTTTTGTAGAATTAGTTAAGAACTGGCTCTAGTGCCCGGCTTGGTTTAAATATGGCACCTCTTTAATGGAAAAAAAAACTTGCACGTCCTGACTGAGTAACTCCCCGAAATCTGAGCAATTTTTGATTGACAGTCTTTAAAGGTAATCTTTACCAAGTCTGGGATTCCATTCCAACCAAAAATTGCAATATTTATAAATTGCAACCCCGTCCACATGAGATAAAAAGGAGTCTCAGTGTCACGAGACAATTCTGACTGAAACAATATTAATTATACCAACGGTTTTTGTCATGTTTTCAATGATAATATTATTAAAAGAAAAAAATCTATATAATGCACTTTACCATCCAAACTATTTATCCCCCAGTTCATTGGGCTTAGTTTGTTCTGTGCTGCTAATCGCTGCATCTTTATCACAAAGTCAAACCAAAACACCAGAGAAGCTCACATTGTGAAACCAGGCACTTTGTAGAGATTTTTAAATAATTTATGAAATTCACATTGGTGATACATTGCTGATGTACATACGGTATGTAAATAAATAAGTGTAAATGTATTTTTATGTCTAAATCTGTACATGTCTTGAATATATTTTCATAGATCCTAGGTCTCCTCTGTATTTCCCTTTGTTCTGACGTGTTTAAAATGATGTTGTCCTTTGTTTACTTGCATGGAGATATTTCAATATGAAACATTATTTATGACAAATTTTAATGTTCTTTGGGATAACAATCTGTTAGTTTTCTAGAGAGCACTGGATTTAGTTTGGGCTGGAAGTCCCAGATGACTGCATGCTGTTGCTAGTTTAGGATGCAATAAGCGATGGAGAGTAAGAGTGTTTGCTGACGATACGCTTCTTTACATAACAGAGCTGTACTTCGACACACAGCTTGTTGAAAGAGTGGATCACTTTGTTTTTTTTTTTTTTAATTATTATTGTAATTTTAGATATTTTGTTATTTGAGCATTAATAAAGTTGTCTATGATCAAGGTAATGAAGCTTGTTCTGTCATGGTCTGTGTTTGTGTGGGGGTGTGATCTGTTCTGTGTTTTTGATTACGCTTCTTGATTCTGGTTTTCTGCTTTCTTTAACTCTGTGCTTTGTTTTGTTTTCTGTTCAGCTTCTCCTGTCTGTCTCTGCTCCAGCCCCGCCCACTCACCTGCTCATGTTTCTGTCCCAAGTGTTTCTTGTTTCAGACTCTTTAGTTCCTCTTTATGTTCTGTTCGTGGGAACTGAGAGCGGAAGGTTTCCGCATGCAATTTTTCCCCGTGGTTTTCTCATGATAACAAGACATGCCAGCGTTTCTCAAGATATTGAGTTAATTTCCTGATGGTTTTTATCTTGTGTATTATTCATTTATCATAGAAATGGCCTGGTCCCCTCAGATGGTCACCGATGAACAGGCGTATACACTTAAGTGATCCTGCTGATATAATAAACTTTATGGATGACCATCTGAGGGGACTAGGCTGTTTCCATGGTTAGAGAATGATGCACAAGAGGATAACCATAACTCATTACCTTGAGAAAACCATTGGTAAATTAACTCGTTAGCTCTTAATGCTCATCGTTATTTTGTTAAACAGTGGGGGGGGGGGGGAATTATGCGGAAAATGTCCTCTTGGCTTCCATAATTCTCCGTCATCAATCTGGTGTGAGTGATTTGTAGTGTCTTCATGGTTAGTGTGTTGTGCTCCCACACAACATCATGTTTCCTGTTTCAGTACTTGTTATTTTCTAAGTACTTTTGCTGCCCTGTCAGCCATTTACTTTCTTAATAAAAGTTTGCTGAAGTACTTTGGTTTACAGATTTATTCAGTCCGTACTCTGGGTTGATTTGATTTGATTTGATTTATTGATTCAACAGGAAAAGATTACTAAAAATCAAGCCTGACTCAGCATAATTGCTGTTTTACAGCAGGTTCCTGTTCTGCAGCACATAAAACACTCAGAAATACAGCATCACAATCACATCATTATTATTATTACACCATAGACACAAAGACAAACAAGCATACCAAATTTCAGGAAGGCAGCATTTGCAAAATAGGACGTCTAAATATGAGCACAACAAAAAGTGTCCAGCAGATGGCAGACAAGATTCTTCTTAAAGGGCTGTAGTTTTGAAATAGACTTTATGTTTTGAGGAATGTCATTCCATGCTTTAGTATAAACATAGAAGAAAGACCTCTGGCCGTAACAGTTTTTAAAAGTTGGTAATATCAGTTGTCCTTTTGTAACAGATGTAGTTGAATGACCACTTCCAGAATTTGATTTGGGCAGCAATGCACAGAGAGTTCCATAACTGGCACCTTGGAAGATCTGAAAATATAAATTAATACCACTATACAAAACATAATTCTGAAAAGTCAAGGCATCAGACAACAAAAGAACTGTACAGTGATGAGTCCAACCAGGAAGTTTTTTTTATGAATTTTGTAGGCCCTGTTGTAGAGCCTAACTATGGGTTCTAAGATTTCATTTGTTGTAAGAGACCAAACAGGTAAACAGTACGACATGGTTGAGAGTATAATGGCATGAAGATAGATATTTGAAACAGAAGATGTCAGATTGGATCTAATTTTTGAATAAACGTATAATTTCTGTTTCAACTTAGTAGTTAAGACTTGTACATGATCACCATAAGTCAAATGAGAATCCAAAGTAATTCCAAGATATTTGTAGGTAGTGACAATATCAAGGGGTTTGTTTAAAAAAGTGAGTTGATTTGTTACATTGAAATGGACTTAAAAATCCGAACCTGACGTGCTGCGGTAAGATTTTGTTGGGCCATAAAACTCAGAGATGCTTACAGTAATGAAGCACGGAGTATTTCCATATGTCATTATATTTTTGAGCTGTGACTACAACTACACTGGCAGAAAGTCCACATTTTCCAAGGAAGTATGTATTGTGGAGGTATGCTATATATCTTTTCCTTATCCGTGTTGATGTGTCCCTAACCCTACAGCAGCATCAGATGATGGTTATTGGTTAAAGGTTATATAAAATTCAACATCTATCAGTGGACAAGACAATAAAATGCTTCGACATATCAAAAATATTGAAGATAACATTCAAACTGAGGGAAAAATAAGATGTGACAAAATGAGGTTGAACTTTCAAAGAAATATCAGGTTATTTTTTTAACAACAGAATTGAGGAAACTAAGAAATAACACATGGTTAAGCAATGAGATTACTAACTAAATATTTATCAAATGAAGGCATCCATCCATCCACCTACTATCATCATGAGCTTCTTCATTTCAGGGTCATGGGGGGTCACTAGTGCTCATATCCAGCAGTCACTGTGTGGGGGGCGGGGTACACCCCTGGACAGGCTGCAAGTCCATCACAGGGACACATAGAGACAAACGAGACAGAAAACCATTGACTCTCTGTCATACCTAACAACAAAAATGAAAACCTCTGTTCAGTTTCAATTGCAAGTGATGGTCAAAAGCCTGCTTTAGGATCTGAAAATTTTAAGCTTGTCCTGGAAAATTTATTATACACATCCTGTCAGATATCAATACAAAAAACAAATGATAGGTTAAATTTTTTGTCATTTCCTGCACATAAAATGTATATATACAAACTAAAAAGTTTTTAGTTCAATGGTATGTTAAGCAGCTTAATTGTCATTGTGAGAGGTTTCAGCTCCATTTACCGGTTTGACATGTTCACAAATCATACCAAAGTGGCCAATATGTGTTTACCTCCTGGCTTGAAGTGTTTTGTGAAACTTTAGTTTCATTGCTGATGAGTCACACCACTGTTGAGTCATCATGGCTAAGGGAGATTATTGGAGCTGAATTTAGCAGCACATTCACGAGTCAATGTAGTAAAACACAAATGACTGTGTACACACCCCTGAGGGACTCCTGTGTTGGGTGTGACAGAGCCTGGTGTGTTTTTATAACAGTCTGATGGTTGCAACACCCAACCTGGAATATTGTCAAAACACCAGCATTGTCCTGACTTCTTTCAGTGCCCTTCTCGCTGCACCGTTTCAGCCCCTGCTCACCATCAGGAGCTGGTTTTCATCCCAGGTGTATTGATCAAAGCATCAAACCTGCCTTAACACGAGTTAGAATAACAGCCAAATGTTTTCTTTGTTAAAGCAGACAACTGAGTTAACAAAACAAGCATCAGGGCTCCTTTCTGATGAAGATTAAAGATTTGATCCAGCACTTCTATGGCATTCTCTTAGATACTTCAGTCATTTCACTCAGAGTAGTGTGCTGATTTTAGCTGGAGAAATAAATAATGGTTGTTTTCAATGCAGCATTAATGTGTTTATATTCCACACACAGACACACTCAGGCAGATTTTTTTTCCCCAAATGTTTATTAAGTGCAAAAGAAATTTCAGATATTGTACAATGAACAATGAGAGGCAGGAAATTGTCTTGGGACATTTTGAAATTAAGAATATTCGAGATAAGAGAAGCCATCAGTGAAAAATCCCAGCACAGACACATAAATACTCCGAAAAGGTTACATTACAATAATAAAATGGCAGAACTCTTGACTCACAGAGACACGTGTGGAGAACGCCATGCAAATTGAACTTCCAGACTATTCTGACTTTAATGCTCCTCGACTTCCTCCCACAGCTCTGTTTTTCTTCTTCTTCTTCTTTAGTTTCATCAAGCTTCCCTTCCTGCCTCACTCAGACATTTCCTCTGCATGGAAACTGGTGCAGGTCATGCATGTTATTCTGATTTCCCAACTGGTAAAGATTGTAAAATTCAAGTATTTTTTACTGACATAAACAAATAGCAACGAAGACAAGTAGTTTTGTCTCTTTGCTGAGTTTATATGTTTTGTTCCAAATATCTTAATTCTCTTTACAGCACAATAAAACATGTGGCACTTAAGACCAGCTTTAAGTCCACAAACTAACAACTATAACTGATTTTAACCAGTAAGGCTCATCATTCTCAGCTACAATACAGGCGCGCTCATATCAAACAGTAAGCACATCAACAAAGGCTGATTGCCTGGTTTTAACTACATGCAACAATATTTCATTAAATATACAAAATTATTCCCTTAGAGTATAATAAAATACTATTAGAATGAATTGAAACAGGTTTATTCGAAGTAGTTTTATGTGTTTAGAACTTATTTGACGTTGAGAACTAGCAGAAAAGCGTACCAAATGCTGACAGCAGAGGGAGCAAAGTGACAGCGTGATCCCAGTTTAAACCCACCACATCACTTCCTTCTTCTGTTAGGGTGAAAACAGGAAGGATTAAGTGGGAGGTGATTTGTTCGCTCACATGTGAAGAGAAGTCATCACTTCATCGGGTCAATACAATCAGGTGTGTGGAAGTCATTTTGACTTGTTGACATATTACAGATGAATTTCCTTTGTTTGCAGGAAGTTAAACCTGCGCCGTCATATTTTGACCATGATAAGATACTTCTGCAGCATCTTAACACACCCTAAAGGATGCTAATTACCCTGAAAGATAATAGTGATGCAAGAACAGATAAATAAAAAAGTTTAAGAAAGAAAAAATGTGACACCGAAACATCCCACACCAAGTAAGGGGGTATTTATGTTGGGTTGGTTATTTCTTTGTTGTAGTAATGCTTCTGGCAACACGTCTTAAACTGTGGGAAAGCCTGTTTATTTCCCCTGAAAATCACGTGTTAAACTCAAGGCCCACGGGTCAAATCTGACTTCTGAGCATATGACACCTGGCCAACGTACAAGCCAAAAAATAAAGTTTTAATATTTTAGTAATCTTAGACTTTAAGTATCTTTTAAGTTTTCTTACTCTAATGTCACAAAATTGGATTTTTGCTGGATTGTGATAAGATGTACATCTAAAAAAATGATAAACAAAAAAGTAGTTGGTCGGATTTTGTGCATTTTTTGCACATATCTTGTTGCACAGTTTCTGTGCCTTTAATGTATCAAAATGTTCAGCTCCTTCAGGATATTCTGGATATGACTTTATGTATTTCAGCAATTTATACTTTTTGAGATATTTAGCTTTTTTTTAAAAGTAGAGCTGTCTTCAACATTCTTAAAACCATTTGAAATGTTCATAAATCTGTATTGTTCTTTTAACTTTTTGTCCTGCTTCTTTTCTGTTCTGTTTTATAT